TATGTGCTATGGTGAGCGCTGTGAATTGTGCAAGACTGTTGAATCACAGATCTGTACTTCTGAAACAAATAAAGCAATCTATGTTAAGAAAAAACAAAAAAGAAGAAGAAGATAGCGGGAGGGGACGAATGAAGGGGGGGAAATCGGAGGGGGAGACGAACGATGAGAGACGATGGACTCTGGAAAACAAACTGAGGGTTCTAGAGGGGAGGGGGGTAGGGGGTTGGGTTAGCCCGGTGATGGGTATTAAAGAGGGCACGTTCTGCGTGGAGCACTGGGTATCATGCACAAACAATGAATCATGGAACACTACATCAAAAACTAATGATGTAATGTATGGTGATTAACATAACAATAAAAAATTTAAAGAGAAAAAAAAGAACTTCTGTTCGCTGGAAGACACCATTAAGAGAATGAAAAGACAAGCTTCTGTCTGAGAAGATTGTGGTCTTCCATATAACCAAAAGAGGCTTGTATGTAGAATATATTTTTTTAAATGTTTAGGGGCACCTGGCTGGCTCAGTCGGTGAAGCATGTGACTCTTGGTCTCGGGTTTGTGAGTTTGAGCCCCACATTGGGTGTAGAGAATACTTAAAAATAAAATCTTAGAAAAATAAAAATAAAACAAAAAAAATTTAAACCCTACAATCAATAAGAAAAAGGAAAAAAAAACCCAGAAAATCAGCGGAGAAACTTGAATAGTCTCGTCACGAAAGAAAATATGCAAATGACACAATAAACAAACGAGAAGTTACTCAACCCACAGGGAGTGTGCATTAAAACCACAATGAGATACAACTATACCTCCTAAGAATGGCTACAATTTTTTTAAACTGACAACACCAAGTGGAAAAAAGAGGTAGAACAATGTGACCACCCATAGGACTGCCGAGGGGAATGTAAACTGAACACAATTTGACAGCATCTACTAAAGACAGACATATGGTCCCTCTTCGACTTAGCAATTGCACACCCAGGTTCAGAAAAGTGTAACATGAAAACGCATGGTCAAAATTGTTTCTAACTGTGATAGTTATGATAGCCAAAAATTGAAAAGAACCCGAATACCCACCTGGAATCCCAAGATTTTTACCTGGAGTAAAAAGGATAAATACAGTGATACATCCATTACATGGAACAGTATGAAGCAATAGAAAGAAATAAGGGACACCTGAGTGCAACCACATGCATGAATCTCACAAACATAATACTCAGTGAAAGAAGTCAGGCAAAATGCAGTGTCTAGGAATACATTTACTCAGTGTAAAGGACTGGCGTTATGACCACAGATTCAGGATAATAGTTACCTCTGAGAATTAGAGAAGAGGTAGGTAAAGGGCAGGGACGGACTGGGGGGTGCGAGGGGTCGAGGGTCCTGAGGCTGGCGGCGTCCTACCTCCTGATGAGGGTGGCTGTTACCAGGTGTCCGCTTCCGATAAGTCACAAAGATGTAAGCTATATGTCTTTGTGCACTTGATGCATATTTCAAGGTTTTTTTTAAATAATTAAGATATAAGGATGGCAGGGGAAGGGAGTGGGCGGGGCAAGCAGAAATGGGGCAAAAGTTGCTAAAAGGAGGGGTGAGGTGAGGGTGAGTGTGGGGGGCTGTGTGCGCGCCCCTGTGAATGATTCTCTTTAGCACCAGTGACGAAACTCATACTGGAAGATGGGGCACAGGAGGTTACAGAGGATCCGGTGTAATGGAAAAACAAGTGGGCAGTTGGGTGGGGGAGGGCTGAGTCTTCATGACTGTGAGTAAAATAATGGAGCATTAGGCCAGAGAACACATTAGCAAAAGAACACAGGGCCTGGAAAAGTAGTGCAGGTGGCTTGCCCTGATCAAAGAAGGCCTGGCCATCAGCCAGTGACTTTTAGGCTATACTTAGCAAACTGGTCCTTGTCTCCTTAAGGCCAAAAGTAAGCATCGAAAGCCAACAACAAAATCATTCTCTCCCACGTTCCTAAAAGCCTTAAAAATGATGAAGGTAAAATGAACATTTATTTTCGACATAAACAATGAACACTGAAAATCAAAGTAGGCCAAGGATTTCTCAGGCAGCAGGCCTGACCTGCTGCTGCACCTTCCTGGCATCTGGCCTCAACAAGGCACTCACTGTCACTTGGCAAACCTTTTCTTCCTTTCCCGTTGATTCCACAAGCCCCGCCCTCCGTGGAGCCACGGGTTCTACGGCCCATCTTCTCTCTCTGCAGTGGAGTCCCCACCGTGCCATCTGTTGTAGGCCATGGACCTGAAGTTGGTCCATTCCAACTTAAAATACCTCCTCCTAGACACCCTCCTCAGAGCCTGTTCTAGCTGTCCGTCTGTCCTGGCATCAGAGATATTGTAGCCTGGGGGAAACTAGAACTGGGGAAGTCCCATGAGGTCCTGGGGAAGAAACAGGGCTAGGGGCCAGCCAGGGGCCAGTAGCTGGTAGAGAAGTCCGAGCTGAGACTCCACAGGGTGGCTGAAGTTGGAACAGCAAAGGACCAAATCAGGAGCCAGCAAAGTGATGTTAGGAGAGGCCAAGCAGGCAATAGGATCAGAGGTCCCCCGGGGACCAGGCACCCAAAGCCATGTAGGAGTATGGCATGGGAGTTCAGAGCTTGAGCCTTGGTGTCAGGTGGTGTTAGGTTCCGGTCCTGGACGTGGCTAGCCAGCGGTATAAATTTGGACTGGTTACTGACCTCTTTTGCCCTCATATTTGTCTGGCAAAGTGGGAATTGGATAAACATAAGGGTGGGGATGGGCATGGGGTTGGGGTTAGGGATGGGGATGGGCACAGAGTTGGAGATGGGGGTGAGCATGGGAATGAGCATGGGGAGGATGAAGGCATGGGGCTGGGCATAGAGTTGGGGATGGCCTAGGGACAAAGATGGGGATGGGCCCAGGAAGGGGTTCAGACCCACGGGTCAGGCAAGCCTTCGGGTGTGAGAGACTGATACATCTTTGTCCTCAAAGATGCTGAGCCTCTCAAGGGCTAAGACCAGGTCCTAGCCCAGGCTTGGCCCTGGCAGGAGTGAAACAAGGAAATGAACTTGCACGTGTACATGAGCAAGAATATCAGCCTCACTGGGTGTTTGCTGCCTTTTCAAAGCTTGCTTCTGTCCACCCCTTTGCAGGTCGGAGCTCATTCCTGGCAGTGACAGCGCTAGATGCTGGGGGTGTTTGCCATCTCGGGACTTGGTGACAAGTCCTGGGAGCAGAGCAGTGGGTGCGCACATTCGTCTCTCCTCCTGCCTCTGGTCACACCTTCCTCAGCCTCTCCCAACCAGCCTCACCCCCTGCCTCCTCACCAGCGTTTTCCAAGTGTCTCTCTCCTCTGCTCCTCCCCTTCTGCGTTCAAACATCCCCACAGCTCCCCGCCTCTAAAAAATTCTTCCCTTGACCCCGAGCTTCCCTGACTTCTATTTTTCTTCTTTTCTCAATCCAAATTCCCCAGGGAGTGGCCTGTACCCGCTGCAGCTCTTTTCCTCACTCCCCAAGGCCCTGCAGCCTGGCGTCCATCCCCACAGCTCCTTGACAGCCACTGGGCAGGAAGGAGCTAGTGGGGTGACACATCAGCAGAAGGCACAGCGATCGGGGACTCCAGAAAGTGGGGGGGCAGGCAGGCATCCACACACAGAGACACACACATGTGCACACATACACACAATGATGCACCAATTCCAATATGGCACCCAAGGGGCTCTCAGTCTGACTAGAGGGAATGAGGGGGGAAGCCCAGGGCCATCCATGGCTCAGCCTGCAGACTCCAGACCCCTAATGGTGGCAGCAGCAAGAGGGCAAAGCAAGGCTGCTAGAATTGCTACACCCAGACCGGGGCTTTGTGAGGCCTGAACATTGCACAGCCTGGGGAAGAAGCCACCATTGTGCCCTGCACGAGTCCCAGCTGCAAACCCTTGGAAGACATCCCTGAAATAACGTCCACTACAGTGGAGGGAGGGAAGTGCTCTGAAGTCTGAATTTGAACCCAAGAACTCTGGCTTCCCATATTCTTGCCTCTCTGCTGCCCTCATACTGACTCAGTGTAGCTCAAGCAGGTGCAAAACCGGAGCGGCCAGTGCAGGGTGGCCCCTGGGGCTGGGGCTACCAGAAACACCATCGTGGGGGCCCCAAAGAGGCACCTGTTCTCACTACCCCGTCTACACTGTAGTACCTGCATTGATCATAAGGTTTACTGAGTGTTATTTTTTTTTAAGATTTTATTTATTTATTTGAGAGAAAGCACATGAGCAGGGGCAGAGAGAGGGAGAAGCAGACTCCCCTGCTGAGCAGGGAGCCCCATCTGGTGCTCGATCCCAGGACCACAGGATCCTGACCTGAGCTGAAGGTAGATGCTTCACCGACTGAGCCACCCAGGCGCCTGCCTGGGTGTTATTTTTATTTAATGTCACCTTTTATACCCTGTTCTTATTTTTAAATAAGCCACTTGAATATTCATTATTTTTTTTAAATCCATGGTTCACATGGCTGTTGATTTTTCCCCTGCAGGTTCCTCTAGGTTCTTAACAGTGAAGGCATCTACCAATCCTAGCTTAATAGTCTCTCTGTCCTGAGCTCTGTCCAGAGGCCGTGCATCTCTGGGGCGACGGGACACATGACCCCCTGCTGCCCGGAAGAAAACATGAGTATATTGTGTGTGTGTGTGTGTGTGTGTGTGTGTGTGTGTGTGTGTGTGTGTGTTTTGTTTTCCTGTTTAAGTAGAATTGTAAAGTGTAAAATCCCCTGACCGGTTTTGTTAAACATGCCCACGCCCGAGCCCTCTGCCAACAAAGTTAATCAGGATCTGGGCGATGGGCCCTGGACGTCAGTATGTGTGACAGAGTCCCCTGGGAGGTGTGCGACCAGAATTGGGAGCCTGACACCCCGGGAATCCTCAAACAAACAGAAGACTCCCGAGGAGGACCTGCCCTCCGGGTGGCAGCCGGGTGTGTGCATTTTCACGGTCACCCTGGACTCTCCCCGTCAGAGACACCTGCTGCTCCAGGCAGACTCTTACCTGAGAGGTCTCCGTGACTCCCCATGCTTCCTTCAGGTCTCTGGTGGTTCTCCTGCCCGGTGCTTATATTTCAACGGCAAATGGCCCCTAGTCCTCGATCCCACCTCCGCATTGGTCTTCTCACTGCTGCCAGCCATCCTTTCTCTACCACCCTCGTGGGCGGTCCAGGAGTCTGACATCAGTGTAAATGGGGGCATTGTGACATCAACAGTCACCGTGCCCCCCCACCCATGAATATTCTGTGCTTGCTCTCTTCCTCCTCGGTGAGCCACACAGTCCTCAAACCCTGGCGCTGGAACAATCCTTCCTGCCGCCTCAGTGAAACGCCTACTATGTGCCGGGCATGAGCTCGTTTAGGATCTCTGATGGCAGGGGAGAAGGCGAGACATGGAGTCTCTTCATTTTAACACATATTTATCCTGCACCACACCTGGCCAGGTACAGAGATGGATGAGACTGGTGGTCACTTCCTTGGTGCCAGAATCTTCTAGAGAGCTTATCAGGACACAGATTATTGGTCCCAGCCTGGAGTTTCTGATTCAGTACCTGAAGGGTGGAGCCCAGGAATTTACCTTTCTGGCAAGCTCCTTACAGCATTCTTCTGAAACAGAATGCTCTTTGGATGAACAGGAGAGAGAACTGTTGTCACCAAGAAGCTGTTTGGAATCAGCCCCCTCCCCCTCCACTCCAGTGACCTGTCCACATTTGCAGTGGGGTGTGCGTGCAGCTTCTATTCTCACCTGTGACCCCCAACTCTGAAAGATCCTCCAGGATTCAAGGAGGACCGGCACAGAGCCGGCTGGAAACACGGTGGTGCCATTGCAGGTTTCAATTTGGGACAGCACTCCAGAGCCAGGCTGGACTTGTCTGTTCCAGAGTCATCTGGTAATTCCTCTGACACGTCTTCTCTCTGCCCGTTACATGAGCCCGCCCTTCCTGACTGTCCATGAGCCAAAGCCCCACACAGACCCTTCCTTGTTGCCTTGCTCTGTCCTGACATCAGGTCTTTGCATGCATTCCCACACCATAATTCCCACGCCAGTGGGGCCATGGCTCCAGCCTCTCCTCAGGTGTCATGGAGAATATGCCAAACAAGGATGGAGGGTCCCTGGCCTGGTTGTTGGGAGGTGCTCTAGGGCATGCATGAGCAAGAAAGGAAATGAGGTCTAGGAAAATTCCATCCTCTCTCCCGACAAGTCTAGGGAAGACTGTGGGCATCTTTGTATACAAAGGTCAGGGGCAGGGCTAGGTTTGGAGTGGGGAGGATGGCAGGTGACCTAGCCCATGGTTTCACAAGAACCTCCAAAGATGAAACCTTTGAAGCCTTGGGCAGCTTGAAGGAGTTGTTTGAGCTACTTGTAGGCCTAGCTCTGCAGGTAACAGGGGCTGGGGCCCAGCTGGGAGCCAGACCTCTGGACCAATCAGTTAAAGAACCAGAGTGACACTGAGGAGTGACATCAGTCCTGCCACCTGACAGCACACAGACAGTGTTTCAGGAGGCCATGATGCTAATCACATCCGCGTCTATGTTGTTCATGGTGAAACTCCAAGTCTCGGAAAGAAAATCTATAGCCCGAGTTATTTTCCTCCCACAGGCCTGGCCTGGCCCTTGTTGGCTTTAAGGAGGTGCATTTTTCCCTCTTCTGTGGGCAGCAAATTCCCCACGAGTTAGCATAATGTGCATCTGGGCTCACCCACTGGCTTCCATTGGCTGTGAGAGGGACAAGCCAAGCAAGTGTGCAAAGCAGGTCTTTGTGCCACCCTGGTGTGCTCACCAACCTGGAGACGCCCATAGGCTGCCAAGGTCCCTCAGTGTACCTCACCAGCCTGGTCACTGGCCCTCCTTGTCACCTCCCAACAGACAGATGCTGAGCATGGTTCCTTCCCTTCATTCAGTGCAGAATGAGTTAAGGCGCCCCGGGTTCAAGAGCTGGCTCTCGGTCCCCTGTGCTTGCACCTGTGCCAAGTACTCTTCTCAACTTTTCACACACTAACTGATCCAATGTTCAAAATCTGCAACATGGACCTAACATGTAGGTTCTACTATTTTAATCCCCATTTCACAAATGAAGAAACCAAGGCACAGAGAAGTCAAGTGAGTAGCGCACAGATACACCTTTCCTCAGTAGAAGAATCAGACGTGCCAACTCTGGAGTGTATGCCATTAAGAAGGGGAAATCAAGGGCGCCCAGGTGGCTCAGTCGGTTGGATGTCCGACTCTTGGTTTTGTCTCAGGTCATGATCTCAGGGTTGTGAGCATGAGCCCCACATTGGGCTCCATGCTCAGCACAGTGTTGGCTTGGGATTCTCTCCCTCTCCCTCTGCCCCTCCCCCTGCCCTCACTCATGCTCTCTCGCTCTCTCTAAAAAAAAAAAAGAAAGAAAGAAAAAATAAGGGGAAACCAGTTAGCTCTCTGCATCAGTTCAATGTGAGAACCCACTCAGAATCCGTGGTGGGCTTGCCCGGACCCCAGCTCCTACCTCTCCTACATACGCTGTTCTTTCTCCTCACCTCTCCCCAGATCACTGACTAAATGGACACAGATGTATCTCTTTGGCCCACACACTTGGATTTTCTATGAAAACTGAAAAGAAAATCAGGAATAAATCAATACTTTGGGTCAGAAGTTTATCAGCTCTCCCTGTGGGTCCCCAGCTTGCTTCTGGGGTGTCAAACACCAGCACACATCAACCCGTCCCAGTAAGGTCCCCCCACAGCCCTGTCTCTCCAGTTGAATAAGTCCAAAAAGGACATACAATCAAATCAGGCAGTCCACTGCCTGGCCTCTGGCCTGTGGCATGGCCTGAAACAATCCAGTTCCCTTGAGAATGCAAATAGCAGGTGAAGAAAGAACTGGCACTTGGCAACAGTGCCAAAGCTTAAAGCATACCCTGAATGGCATAAAGGCCAGGAGGAATTGTGGAATCAATTGTGTTGCAATCAGATGATATCCCTTTTATTACACAGGTTTACTTCCCTCTCAAGTTGTATCCTTATTTGTAGAAGAAACAGTTTCCTACAGTCTAGAGTGTACTGATAACATCTGCATGGTGTTCTTTAACTGGTTCCTCTGTCCCCTGTGAATTGGTCATAAGATCTAGAGCCTGGACTGGGTCCAGTTTCGCTTTTCCATAGACGGTGTTGTAAGTAGTAGGAATGTAATGCCGAGTTGTCTCTCTTTTTGTGATGTTAGCAGCTGTTAATGATTGCGGATGAGAAAAGGTACTTAATCAGGAGCTTCGAATTGATATCTTCATTCTATCATTCCTTCTCTATTTTTTATGCAGAATACATCTATAAGAAGACACTCCTCATCAACTCTTTGCTTACACTGAGGCTTAGTACATGGGAAAAGGACAACTCATGGATTTTTTTTTCTCATTTATCAGTCTTCAAAATAATAAATTGGATATTTTGCATGCTCCAAAAGTGACTGAAGTTATTGGGTTTTGTGATGAACTCAGACTTAAAGAAATTTGAGATGTTTCAATCCATTGCAGTCCCTATTCTTACAAATGCTCAAACTGTCCCTTCTCTAGCCAGTCAGAACCTTTTCAAGCTGGTTCCTGAGTTCTTTTGACATGAGCCTAGATGTGCTTGATAGCTCCCTTGTCTTTTTATGACAGGCTGTTCTGGGTGCATCTAAAATGTAAGATAATTTCTCTAAGGAGCCCTCTTCCTTTGGTGTGGAATGGTTGTTGGAGGCCACAGGAGACTCACTCCCACAGCTATGTTTGGCCACATCCGAAGCCCTCCCCAGATGTTCTCCACAGGTCCTTCATGCAGGGCTCTGCCAGGAACAACCCAGCATACCCCATAACATAGTGTCTTTAGGCGGATTTCCAGGGATCCATGGCTGAGCTACGAACCACATTTATTTCACTCGAGCACTTGTGGGTCCAGAATTCAAGGAGGGCTCAGCTGGACAGTTCTCCAATCCACATGGCATCAGCCAGGGCAGCAGAACTAAAGGGTCTATTTCCAAGATGACTTCTTTATTCCTTGTCTGGCCTCCTGATGCTCCCTAGTCTCTCCCTTCCTTTCTCTCTCCCCATGGTGTCTCATCCTCCAGACCTGTCCATGTGGCTTGGGCTCCTCACCAGCACGATAGTCCATGATAGGCAGGAGATAGAAACCACAAGGCCAGTTAAGGACTTCCCTAGAACTAGCACAGCTTCACCTCCACCCTGTTCTATTGGCCAGAGGAGTCACAGCATTTGCCCAGATTCATAAGAGTGGTGCAATAGATCACACCTTCTGGAGCAATGACAAGGACAAACTGCAGAAGAGCATGTGAGGTGAGAGGGATTGTCATGGTATCTTCAGAAAATAAAGTCTGCCACAGTAACTACACATAGTATCAGCTTTGGGAGTCCGTTCCCAATAGCACTTTCCTTTGAGTCATTCATCCACTCAACAAATAATTCCTGAGAGTTGGGCTAGTAACTCTTGCTAAGGAATGAATACAAAATTTCTTAGAAAATGAGAAAGGTTTGGAAACAATTTCAATTTTTAAGTTGAATTTCCCATTAATTCCCAGCTTATTTTTACTTAATCTCATAAAAAAGCAAACTTTGCCTGCCTTAGGCAAGTTCCAGTATCATCTCCTCTGGGAAGCTTTTCCTGATCTCCCTTCAGGCATATTGGTAGCTCTCACAACACCTTGTTCACACACTAGCAGTGCAATGCTTATATCTGATTTTTAGCTGAGTTCACATCCACCCCCAAATAAAGACCATGTTTCCCAACCACCCTTGCAACCTGATGGCCATGAGACTAAGTTCTGGCCCACGAAATGTAAGTGGAAGTGGTATGTGCAACTTTCAGGAAAGGTCCCTAAAGAAGGAGTGTACCTTTGTTCTTTCCTTTCCTCTTTTTTGCTGCCTGGAATACACACATGATAGCTGGAGCTAGAGCAGCCATTTTGTACCATATGATGACTTTGGGAATGGAAGCCATGGACAGCAGAACAATGAGTTGAAGAGCTCAAATTCTTGACACTGTGGAGGGCCACTCCCACGCTGGAGCCAGTACATCTAGGTTTTCACATGAGACAGAAATGAACTTCTATCATAAACTTCTATCTGGCTTAAGCCACTGTTTGGGATTTCCCGCCACTCACAGTTGAACCTAATCCTGGCTGATAAAACTCATATCAAGGG